GTTTCAGAATTTTTGCTTATATACATTTTAGAATGAGCTTTGAATTACTACAACAAATCACTGCTGGCATTTTGATAGGATTTGCATCGAATGGAATAATAAATGTATTTTAAATAAATCCATGTGGGACTATTGCCATCTTGATAAGTAGTTTTAGAGCATGGTCATGGTCCTTTTCTTCATTTAGAGCCTTCAAAAAGAATTTTTAGTTTGCAACTTAAAATTGTGATGGTTTTATTAAAATCACTTAAAGTATGTCTTTATTTTGTGCATATAGAACTCAGGACAACTCACAGGAGTTGGCACTCATAGTCCATCATGTGGATCTGGGGAGTCAAACTTGAAAGCAAGCACCTTAACCAACTGAGCCATCTCGTGGGCCCCAAACTTTGCTCTTAGCTGTTATGAATGGAATTGCTACATTACTTTCACTTCTGGATTTCTTTTTGCAGTACTTTGAAATACAGTTGTTTCTTATGTCATTCATATAGACTATGAACTTGTTATGCCCCCCCCCCCCCCCGCATCTGTGTACTACTTTGGATTTTCTGTGTACAAAATCATGTCACCTGTAAACAAATACAGTTTCACTTCTGTGTTTCTAGACTAGCTTCTGTGTTTTGGGCTTTGCCTTTTTCACTGGTTTGGGCTTTGAGGACAGTAGTGAGTAGAAACGCTGAAAGAAGTCTTCTTTGGTTGCAGTTCTACAGGGAAACCATTACGCTTGATGGTTGTTGTAGATCTTTAAAGATCTACTTTATCCAATTGAGGCCATCTTCCCCTCTAGTTGTTTGTTTTAATATTGTTGTTGTTTGTAATAGCAACTGTGTATTAATGTAACATTTGATTTTTTCTAATAATCAATTTTGTTTTACTGTGATTGTTATTAAAAGTGAATTGTATAATATGTATGTTATTTATTTGCTCTGGATGAGTGTGCAAATACCTGTAGTATACTGACTTAGATTCATCCAGAGACATACTCAGCTGTAGTATAACTTTAGTTTTTTCCATAGTGGCCGTACTGATGTACAGTCCTACCAGCAGTGTATAATGGTGCCTTTATCTCTGCATCCTCACCTACATTTGCTTATGGTGTAACTATTCTGATTGGGGGAGACAGAATTTCAGTGTCATTTCATTTGCAAATCACTGATGGCTAAGGTTAAATATTTAATTTATTTATTTACTTTCCACTTGTACTGCTTTTGAGAACTGTCTGCTCAGTTCATTTACTCATTTAATTTTTTCAGCTCTATATTCTAGTTATTAGTCCCCTGCTTAAAGAATAGCTAACAAAAAAATATCTCCCATAGGCTGTCTTTTCAGTTTGTTGTTTTCTTTGCTATGTAGGAGCTTGATTTGCTATTTGTCAGGCCCAGCTGTTATTTTCTGAGCTATTGGAGTCTTACTCAGAGAGCTCGTGCTTGTCCCTTATCTTGAGATGTTTATATTTTCCTTTCATAGTTTCCGGGTCTTATATTAAGGCCTTTTGTCTATTTCGAGTGGATTTTTGTACAAGGTGAGAGACGAAGATTGAGTTTCAGTCTCTGCCATGTACATATCCAGTTCCCTAGCACCAATGTGGGATGAGGCCATCTTTCCCCCAGTAGTCACTTTGGCACCTTTGTCAAGAATCCATTTCCCATAGGTTTTCTAGTTTACTGCAAAATAAGTCTTCATAATACTTCCTAGTGAACCTCAGGAGTTCAGTGAATATTTGTTATAATATTCACCTCTTTCAGCTTTCTTTTTGGTTAGTTTGTCTAAGCATTTGTCAATCTTGTTTGTCTTTTCAAAAAAGCAACTGTTTCATTGCTCCTCTTTTTTTTTTTTTTTTTTTTGAATGAGGGTTTCTCTATGTAGCCCTGACTGTCCTGGAACTAACTCCTTCTGTAGACCAGGCTGACCTTGAACGTGGAGATCCGATTGTCTCTGCCTCTCAAGTGTTGGAATTAAAGTCATGCACCACCACCAGCCAGCTCATTGATCCTCTTACAGTCTTTATTTCATTAATTTCTACCCTATTCTACTTTTTCTTTTTATTTCTACCTACTAATTTTGTTTGGCTTTTTCTTTTTGTTTCTAAGCCCTATTAAGATATCTATTGGAGAGTTCTCTTTACTTATGAATGTAGGCATTCATCTCAATAAGCTTACCTCTTCTGCCTTTGCTGTATGCCAAAAATCCTAATAAATTGTGGTTTTATTTTCAGTTGATTCTAGGATTTCTTTAATTTTTAGAAACTTACTTTATATATAGCAAATATAATTTGTATATTCAATCTCCATGTGTTTGTGTGGCATCTTTGCTTTCTCATGATACAAATTTTGTTCCATTATGATAAATAAGACACAAGAAATTATTTTTTAAAGATGTATTTTATTTCATTTATATGTACTTATGGGTGTGTCTGTGGGTGTGTATATGCACATGTATGTCCCTCCACAGATTCCAGAAGAAGGTGTTGGATCTCTTGGAACTAGAGTTACAGGGGTTTATGAACTATTTGACATGAACTTTAACATTGTGCTGTTTCTTGATTTGGGAACTTTTCTCCTATAACTTCATTGAATAAATTTTCAGTCCCTTTAGCCTATTCTTTTTGGGTCCTTCTGTACCATAGATTGGTTGACCTGGTCTCTTAATAGTGCACTAGAATGTTGTTTTCGTTATTTCTGGATTTTGTTTTCTTTATTTTTATTTGAATATAGATTTCCCACCTTTGTCATCAATTCCTGATAGCTTTTCTTCAGTTTTTATTTGACTGATTTGAGTTTTCCTTTTTAATATCTTTTTTGGCTGAATTTTTTATTCAAGTACTGAAGTTCTAGTCCAAGTTGTTGAATTTTTTTGTACAAGTATCATATTGGCATCTTGACTCATTTGAACCATTTTATTAATACTGTGTGTGTTGCAAGCACATGAATATGAGAGTATGAGCATGTGTGCAGAAGCCAAGAGTGGGGTGTCATGTGTCTTCCTCTATCGCTCTTTGCCTTACTTCTCTGAAACGGGGTCTTTCACTGAACTAGAAGCTCCCAAGTGTACCTCTGCTCCCCAGTCCTGGGGTGTGCAGCCATGCTTGGCTTTTCATGTGGGCACCAAGGGTTCTTGGTAACTCAGGTCTTTATGGTTACAAAACAGTGCCATTTCAACAGACCCCCACTGATGATGTTTTAAAGCAGAGTTTTGAAATATTTCTGACTTTTTAACTATTTCAAAATTTTTAGGTTCAGTTATTCAAGAGTTGCAAACTCTTAGAGGAGTCGCACTACTCTTAGAGGAGTCACACTACTCTGTATTTTCATGTTTATGATTCAGGTTACACATCTGTTGAGACGGCATTACTTTTTTTAGTGAATTCCTGAGCAGCCTTCTCTTACGGCTCCACTCATAGGGGAAAAAGAACTGTAATAATGCATTAACACCAAATAGGTCATTTATAAAAATACAGCTAAAAGGGGACTGAAGAGATGGCTCAATGTTTCAAAACATGGACTGTTCTTCCAGAAGAATCGGTTTTCAGCATCCATGTTCAGGAGCTCATAATTAATTGCCGGTAAATTTGCTTCCTGGGTATCCAATGCCTCTGACCTCTGCACGCCTACACTTATATGCATACACCCACACACGTTCACATAATTCAAAATAAGTCATTAATAGAAATTAAAGTCATTTACTACATCGTAAGTGACAGTAGAAAAGGAAATAGTAAAAATAATGTAGAGTAAAAGTATGAATTTAAAAATTAGTAAAGGCAAAATAATAATGAATGAATTAAAGGAGAGGGTAAAGAGAAAGGAATGAAACAAGAGTTAATGAAAAGAAAAAGAGACAGGATGTGAGAGGAACAGATAGCAGCATTTTTAAAAATCAGATTACAAAATATAGGGAAAAACTGGATAAAGAGGAACAGAAACAAAAGAAACACTACAACATCAGAAAAAGAAAAATATAAAGATGTATAAAATGTTATAAAGAGTAAAATCAAAGAAAGGAGAATGGCAGAAAGAAAGAATGAATGAAAAATGAATGGCTGATTTAGACATGCTCTTTTCTGTGTCCTCTGGGAGGAGAGTTGGCATTGAAGTCCCCAAAGTCAGCCATTAATTGTATAATTCTGTTGATTTCTGTAAAGTGTGATGAGTTGTTTTGTTTTTATCCTGTTTGCTGTCAGAATTTTTTATTTACTTACTATTTCAAACAACATTTTATCTATATGTATTTATCCTGGTTGAGATTTGTTGAGCTGTGTCATATAGACTTGGTTTTGATCAGTCAAGTGTGGAGGTTTTCAGTCATCAGGGAGCAGGAAGATCTAGTCAGGGGAAAAATAGAGGAGAGCAAGAAAAAAAGATACTATAATAGAGGGAGCCAATATAAGTTTAAAGAGAAATCTGGCACTAGGGAAATGTCCAAGATCTAAAGGTTGGACCCCAACTAACAATCTAAGCAATAGTCAAGAGGCTCCCTCTATTAAGGTATCTCTTTTCTTGCTCTCCTCTATTCTTCCCCTGACTCAATCTTCCTGCTCCCTCGTGTCCTCCTCTCCCCTCCTCTTCTCCCCTTCTCTTTCTCCTAGCTTCATCTCCCCTCCCCCCATGCTACCAATTAGCTCAGGAGACCTTGTCCCTTTCCCCTTCTCCTGGGGACCATGTATGTCTCTCTCTTAAGGTTCTCCTTGTTTCCTAGCTTCTCTGGCGGTGTGGACTGTAGGCTGGTTGGAAATTCGGAGCCCAGCAAGTTAAAGCACCAGAAAGCTCACCATTCTCATTAAGACCCATGCTTTTTTTCAGTCATTGCTCACTTGGAGAAAATTTAAAGTTCTGAAAGAAACTAGTTTTGACAAATTTTCTTTGCTTTTTGAAGAAGTGAATCTTCAGTGATTTTTCATCCAATGTTCCAGAAGTATATCTCAGTCTGCCTGTGCTTTTAACTATTGTGTACATATCCTGGTATTTGATATGTAAACATGGTCTGTATACATTTATTGGCAGTCATGACAGTCCACTCTTTGATTTCATTGAGAGCTGCTTGCGAAATAAACACGAAATGGTTATTTATGAAGCTGCTTCTGCAATTATTCACCTTCCTAACTGCACTGCAAGAGAGTTGGCGCCTGCTGTCTCAGGTTAGTTGTATTTGCTAGCTGTCCTCTGTTTATGTTCTTACACTTTTTAAATCAATGGGTCTACAGAGTAGTTATTAAGAGTGTTGTTTAGGACTGAGAATGCTCAGTAAGTAAAGATGGTTGCTAATGAAAACTTTAATGTTTAGAAAACACACTTGCCTTCTCAACTAGCACTGCTTCTCTTATTTAAATTCAAATATTAATTGGGATATTAATTCTTGGAGAGGAAAAGCAAATCCTGCTTTCTATTAAAGTTTTTGTAACTGAACAAGCAGTGGTCTTTTTCTGTTTTTGTTGATGTTTTTGTTCACATGGAGATTTGATGATGTGATCTAATTTCCTGATACTATGAACGTAATCATTAGACATGTAATTTTCAGCTATATGGTGAACAGGATGCACAGTGACTTTTCTCTCTCCCTTTTTCCAGTTCTTCAGCTTTTCTGTAGCTCTCCTAAACCAGCCTTGAGATATGCAGCTGTGAGGACCTTGAACAAAGTAGGTATCACAATTTGTATGTTTAGTTCAAAAACATTAAATACAAAGCATTTGGATTTCTCTTCAAGCTTAGCATATATGATGTATGGGCTTCACATCTGTAGCACCTTATTTGTACTTGGGTTCTTAGTTGTAGCCATTTATACTGTTAGTTCATGGAGGATTACAATTCTTTTCTGACTTCTGAGTATGTTGTGTTCAAGTGTTATACTGCTCAATATAGAGTCCATTCACAAGTTCATTAAAATTAAATAAGGGAGCCAGATGGTGTTGGTGTGCACCTTTAATCCCAGCACTTAGGAGGCAGAAACAAGCAGATCTCTGTGAGTTTGAGGTCAGCCTGGTCTACAGAGTGAGTTCTAGGACAGCCTCCAAAGCTACAGAGAAATCCTGTCTTGAAAAAAGAAAAAAAAAAAGCAAAAGATTAAGTAAGGGATTCAATTCCGTAGTCATTATTATCATACTACCTATGCTATAGCCACTTGTAGTTAATGAAAATCATAGAAAAATGTGCTAACATTTAACAGTTTAATCAATTCCTTACCTCTAATCTTAATAGAAGTTGTGTCTTAGAATTCACATGTTTATGAATTTTAGAGAGGTTATATAATGTGATGCTACTTCTTAAATTAACTCCAGTGGGCTGAAGCAGCAGCATCTAACCATTAAAATATACAAAAGATTTCTACACAAAGCACGTGACTCTGTGCTACATGGATAAATGAAGACTTTTACATCAGGCTGGGTCATCTTTTCCTGTTGAATAAAGATCTGCAGAGTAGTTTCACATTTCCAGAATTAGGGGTAAGATACTCTGTGCCAATTTGGATTGACAGGGAGATGGAGCAGCATCAATGCAGAATGACAGATGTATTTTGGCAACTATTGATAATCCAGTTTGGCAGGAATTTGTTTAATGGCAGGGGTGTTTTAAAAGTGACAGAATATCTTTGTTGATCAACATTTACCATAATAGATCTTTTTCTCAGAGTTCTAATGTTTAGTGAATACTCAGACATATAAACTATAAGGAGACAATAGGCCACTTACAATAAAAGAGACTGATATTATTATTAAGGTTAGTTAATTACAAAGGAGAGTACTATGCTATATTGTTGTCATTACTAATTTATCAAGTGAAACCTTGTTAGTTAAAAAACAATTACTTTGGGCAAGGAGGAGTTGAGAAAGGTTGTCAGCTAGCCCAGGCTGGCCTGGAACTTGTTAAGTGGCCATAGATTATATTGAACTCCTGGTCCTTCTACCTTTAGTTCTCAAGAGCTAAGATCATATGCATTCACCACACCTGACCTAAAATGATTACTTTTGGCCTATACTGTTCCTTTAGATTGTCACTTACCTTAATTAAAGTGTAAGTTCTGGCCCTTATCAACAACAATGTACTTTGATTTTTTTTTTTTTTTTTTTTTTTTTTTTTTTTTTTCTGGCCACCTTCTGCAAGGTGGCAATGAAGCACCCCTCTGCTGTTACTGCCTGCAACCTGGATTTAGAGAACTTAATCACAGACTCAAACAGAAGCATTGCTACCCTGGCCATTACTACATTGCTCAAAACAGGGAGTGAGAGCAGCGTGGACAGGCTTATGAAGCAGATATCTTCTTTTGTATCTGAAATCTCAGATGAATTCAAGGTAAGAATTTAAACAGGCTTTTTCTTGGTCTATGGCTTCCTTAGCAGTGTCTTTTGAGAAAGTCTTTATGTTTATGAAGTCTGCACTATCATCCTTTTCTTTCCTAGATATTGCTGTGTCCTACATAAATAGCTTGTATAAGCATTTTGTAAACTTATAAGCTTTTACAAACATTTATTCTAGATGTTTTATGACTTTAGCTTTTACATTTTGTTTTGTGACCACTTGAATTAATGTTTGTATAAGTTCAGTGTTTTCCTATACTCATACCCAGTTATTCCAGCATAACTGGTTAGAAGATGTCCTTTCCCTATTAGATTGCTTTGGCATCTGTCTTAGATAAGGTTTTATTGCTGTAAAGAAACACCATGACCATGGCAACTCTTATAAAGGAAAACATTTAATTGGGGCTCGCTTACAGTTTCAGAGGATTAGTCCATTATCATTATGGAGAGAAACACAGTGGCCTGCAGGCAGACATGGTGCTCGAGATGTAGCTGAGAGTTCTACATCTTGATCCACAGGCAGCAGGAGACTGTTTGCCACACTAGGCGTAGTTTGAGCATCGGAGACCTCAAAGCCCACCTCCACCATGACACACTTCAAAGGCCACACCTACTCTACTAAGGCCATGCCTCCTAAAAGTACCATTCCCTATGGACCAAGCACTCTCACACATGAGTCTGTGGGGGCCATACCTATTCAAACCACCACAGTATCCTTATTTGAAAATCAAATAATCAAATAGTCATTTACTACTAATGTGTAAAACTATTTTTCTTTCAATTTCTCCATATTTACTTGGTATCATGTGACCTTCATTGCCTATGTTGTTTGAAATTATCTGTATTAATAATAATATTCTGTATAAATGAAGAGGTTTCCTTATTTTGAATCCAAAGACCTTTCCTTCCTTTTTTCTTACCTTACTAAAACAGCTAGCACTTCAAATAAAGTGCTGAGTAGAACCAGTGACAGTGTATTAGAAATGATCAAAGGACAATAAGTTTTAGTGTAAAGAAAAAGAAAGACCATATCATTCTTTTTTAATGCTCAGCCATGTAGCACAAGGGACTGTTGCTCTCTACTTAGTATGAAAAAATAAACAAAAGTAGATGCTTTAAAACTTTGCAGTGTTATCAAAATTGTTTTGTAGCTGTTTGCCAAAATAAACCAGAATGGTAGAGAAAGTATATTGGTAAGGATAATGTTTTAGAATGGAAGTTGGCAAACTTCTCTAAATGACTATAAAATAAATACTTTAGATGATCCCGGTTCCTGAAATTATTTATATACATATTCTTTATTTTTATTCTTTATAATCCTTTAAAAACTCTAAAACCAGGCTGGGCGTTGGTGGCGCACGCCTTTAATCCCAGCACTCAGGAGGCAGAGGCAGGCAGATCTCTGAGTTTGAGGCCAGCCTGCTCTCCAGAGTGAGTGCCAGGATAGGCTCCAAAGCTACACAAAGAAACCCTGTCTCGAAAAACCAAAAAAAAAAAAACCATCATAGCTTTCAAATCCTACAAAAATAGGGTATAAATGTGGGATGATGGTATGTGCCTGAAATCCTAATACCTAGAAGGCTGGGGCAGAAGTATCATGAGTTTTGGCTAGCCTGAGCTACGTACAAGTTCTAGGGCATCCTGGGTCAATAATAAGACTCTTGTCTGAAACAACAATCAAGCAGAATGCAACCAGGATTGGGTAGTAATTTACTGACTTCAGTTTTAGAAAGTTAAAACACTTAGAAAGATTAAAAATTAAAGGACACTTAAAACTTGATTGCCAAGATATCACTCATTAGAAATATTGATTTATCCTTGTGTACAACTACTTGTAGAATTTTTAAAAAAATCTAATGACCAATAAAAGTGGATTTGTTGTTTTTTGTGTTTTTGTGTTTTCTTTTTGAGTCAGGTTCTTATTAGGTAGCTTGGGCTGGCCTTAGACTCACAGTCCTGCTACTCCAGCTTTCCAAGGGTAGAGATTATAGGTGCTACCATGCCTGACTGAAAAGAAACAAAAAAGAAGAGAGAATCCTACAGTTTCACTTTTTGAGCTGTGAGATGATTTCAGTTGTGTGCATTATTTATATTGGGCAAGTTACAAGTTCTATACAAAATGATAGCAGTCATGGAAATACCAAAGAGTAAACAAAACTTACATAGGTATAATGTTTGGGGGCTACATTAGGAAACTGAAGAAAAATAAGGAAGTGGTAAAGCTACTGGGAGAAGAATCATACCAAGGAAGGCTACAAAAGAAACAACCAGACAGGAAAGAGGTACATAAAAGAATTTAAGATTATGGAAATCTTTTAAACAGACTATGAAGTAAGTGTATAAACATTGTTTTTATAAACTTTGTTAAACATATACTTAAGTAAGTAGTCTGAAACATGCCATAAGAAAGTTAGAAAAGGATAATATTTTTAATTGTTAAGCTACATTCTTTAATCAGCAGGGTCTCTCCCTGTTACTAATTTTGCTAGCTTTTTAACCTTATAAAGCAAAATCTCATTAAGTTGTTTAAAGTTCAGTGTACTTTTCAGTATCATCAGTGATTTTCTCAAGTTTTTAGTTCCTGATTTCTGTGACTGCATGGAGTTTTAGAATAAAAAGTAGATCATAAAAATAAAAATAAACTTTAAAAAAGGGATTGATCTCAACTTACTATCAATGTCATTAGTTTTTTTATTATTTTCATTGGCTACATATTAAGTGTAGACCTTTACAATATTTCTCAAAAAATATTTTCCCACTCTTTAGTGCCTTCCAAAGGAAAGTTCTCTATACACATCCATGCATGGTTTCAGGAAGGAAATGAAGATGTGAAGTAAATTTTTTTTAATAGTTATATTTGTTTTTGTTTTTTGAGACAGGGTTTCTCTGTGTAACAGTCCTGGCTGTCCTGGAACTCACTCTGTAGACCAGACTGACCTGGAACTCACTGAGATCTGCCTGCCTCTGCCTCCCAAGTGCTGGGATTAAAGCTGTACACCACCACTGCCCAGCTGTGAAATAGATATTGTTGAGTAGCTTGATGATTCAAGGAAGTATTGTAAAGTCTGACTATATCAAATGCCATATCACCAAACACTTAGCAGTATAAATTTGCTACTGGATTTTCATGGCAAAAGCCCTGCTCTGGGAGTCCCAGCAATCTAGACTTGGCCCCCTGTCCTAGTATGTCAGTGAGAGGGCAATTAATCATAAAAAGCAGATAAAGGAGATTTAGTCAGTGTCACTGCATGGGGTTGGTTGTTGTCTCAAACTGGTTCTGAAAATGTTTCAGAGAACCCCTTAATGCTTGAGGGGATGAGCCAGTCCTCCTAACATGATGTTCCTGCCTGAGAATGATTTCATAATGGGCTCATCTGTCTTTGAAATTCTTCTGTTCCTAGAGTCCAAGATAAATACACGTTAAAGACATGACTGAAGACCTCTAGGACCCTTTTTGGAGGTTTGGAATGGGGTATTATAGTTAGTTATGAGATGTCTCGGTTACTGTTACCTTTGTGTATACAGCCTTAAAGGGGATGGGAATAGAGAGGTACAACACTTTTTATGCTCTTCTGGAGTGGATTGACATGCCTCTATGCAAATTAAGTGGGTGACTGGCCCAAAGTTAATGGAGATAGATAAAAGATAAAAAAGATACCAGGCTTTTATCTTGCTTTTAGTTTTGTAAACCCAAGTCAACGATTTTGAGCAAAAATAACTTTTAAGTATCTGTTATAGATCTGTATAACCATAATCATATATGAGATCCATTGTCCTCTTAGGAAAATAATAAAATGACTAATATGCATTCTGCTCTTTGTGTTTTTTTTATGGGGGTGAGGATAGATTAAGGGTGAAAGATGACTGACGTAAGATCACATTGGTATTAGCAGCACAACTGAAGCTCAAACCTGTATTTTCTTTTTATTTATTTATTTATTTATTTATTTATTTATTTATTTAGAGGCAGGGTTCTCTGTGGAGCCCTGGTTATCCTGGAACTTACTTTGGAGACCAGGATGGTTTCAAACTCAGAGATCTGCCTGCCTCTACCTCCCTAGTGCTGGGATTAAAGGCGTGTGCACACCTGGATTGTATTTTCTAAAAATTTTAAATGTACTTCCCCAGCTTACATTCAGTGTTTATATCATTTTTACTAAGTCTTTTAAAATCTTTTTTTTTGTTTCCTGTCTTTAATTATTGATTCTTTCTGACATCTTTGATTTTAGATACTGTGTTGAATATGATAAAATGTTGTTAAAACATTAGCTTATCAAAATTAGATAATCACATAGAAAAAAGTAATTCATAACCCCTTCAACTCTACTATAGACAGAAATGAGTACTGTCTGGATTGTAGATTTGATTGTAAAAAGCAAAACAATAAGTAGGTTAAAAAAAAAAAGTGAGGGCATTCAAGTTTTAGGAAGTAACCCAGGCAATGGCAATAGCCTCTGTTGTTCTGTTTTGGAAGTCTGTTGGACACTGCCTACCTTGATAAAGATGAGGCAGACCCAAACTTGTATATATTAAGTAGAAGTATAAGTACAGTCATTTTGAAAAACTAATAGTATTTACTAATGCTGAATGAACCCATGCCCTGTGTTAGACCCAGCAGTTTTACTCCTAAGTATATTCCCTACAGAAACGCATGTACAAGACTCATTTTCAACCAGTTAATTTTGAAGGAATCTGTGTGGTTAAGAAAATGACCTCTAACCAGGTGGTAGTGACACATACCTTTAATCACAGCACTTGGGAGACAGAGGCAGGCAGATCTCTTAGTTCGAGACCAGGTTGGTCTAGAGATCCAGTTTCTGGACAGCCAGGACTATACAGCGAAACCCTATCTCGAAAAAAAAAAGAAGAGGAGGAGGAGGAGGGAAAAGTATTTTGAAGAGGAAAATTTTATAACTTACTAGATGTGTGACTGGCTGCCTCAGTTTCCTTGGCTATACCAAGGAAATAATAGTAATAATAATCCCATAGAGTTGTTGTGATGTATAAATGAAACAATAAAAAGCTAAGTGTGCCGTAGTGTTAACTGTTGCTGTTTTCTGTGTGTATAATATAGGAACTGTAATTACTCAAGGAGTGGTTGAGTATTTTCCATATTATTTGGGTTAATTATTTTATTTTAGTGCAGTTACGATAAATGTTTTAAAGTATAAATAAACTAATTTCTGCTTGCTTTCAGTTTTAGTATTGCCCCTCCCATTTTAATCATTTCATTTTTGATACATAGGACATTCACAGAAGTATTGATGTATTCAGTAGAGTATCACTCCTCTTGTATCTCCTCCCATAACTCCTTATAAGACTTTATTTGCTTGCATATTTATCTTTAGTACATTTTTTTGTAATTGAACTAGCCTTTTTTATTTCCTAAGAGATCATTTTTATTAGTCCAAATTAGAAACAAGGCTGCTTCAGAGGCCAATAATTCTCCTTCTCCTTTGCCCTGACCTTCCTCAGCCTTCCCAGGCCCCACCCCATCCACCCTCCACTCCCCAGGCTGGGTAGGGCCCTCAACAGGTGGGGGCTTCCCAAAGTCCACCACATCATCCTCGGCCGGGCCTACGCCCTCCCCCATGTGTCCAGGCTGAGACATGGGATGGGCTCTCAAAGTCCCTTCTTACACCAGGGAAAAATACTAATCCACTACCAGGGGCCCTCTAGAGTGCAGAGGCCTCCTCATTGACATCCATGTTCAGGGGTCTGGATAAGTCCTGTGCTGGCCTCCCAGACAGTATTTGGGGTCCATGTGCTCCCCCTTGTTCAGGCCAGATGTTTCTGTGGGATTCACCAGCCTGATACCGACAACTTTGATCTGCATTCCTCCCTCTCTGCAACTAAGTTCCAGAGTTCAGTTCAGGGTATTCTGTGGATGTCTGCCTCTGCTTCCATCAGCCAGTGGATGAGGGCTCTAGGATGGCGTAAAAAGTAGTCATCAGTCTCATCATAGGGGAAGGGCATTTAGGGTAGCCTCTCCACCATTGCCTAGATTGTCAGTTGGTGTCATCCTTGTAGGTCTCTGGAAATCTCCCTAGTGCCAGATCTCTCCTCAGGAGTATAATGGCTCACTCTAATATGGTATCTCTCATCCTGCTCTCCTCTATACATGAATGTTTCTTGTTTTATTGTCCATCAAAGATAGCATACTGTTGTGTTCTTTTACAGTACTTTTAGTTTTCAACTTAAAAGGAAGTCATTCAAAGTTTTTGGAAGGAGATATGCTTCTTTTTTAATTTTCACCATTTTTTTTTTTTTTCAGATTTTTTGACACAGGGTTTCTCTGTGCCCTGGCTGCCCTGGAACTTGCTCTGTAGATCAGGCTGGCCTCAAATTCTCAGAGAGTCTTTATTTGTCTTTACAGCTGCATATTACCCCAGCAGTTGTGTGGAATGTAGCTTACTGAACTAGTCTCCTGTTTGGGTAGTGTGCAGTTATTTTGTACTTAGGAACAGTACTGCAATGGATACCTCGGGCATGTGTTTTTCAGAACATTAGATCTGTGTCCTCAAGGCATTTTTATGATGAAAGTTAAATATAATAAATATGTCTTTCATAGAGCATGCTAAATGTTGCCAGCAGTCTATAAAAGTATTATTTTCCCATAATCTTACCAGTAATGTGTGTTGAGCTATTGTAGTTTGCTTTTGAATGAGAAATGATGTTTCAGTATGCAGTTTTAATTTGAATTCTGTTTTTAATGAGGAAAATTAAACATCTTTCCCTTTTAAGATCACCATTTGCATAATGTTTGTATGCAAATATGCCTGTAGGCATGTGTAAAGGCCAGAGAAGGTTCACCAAGCTTAAGTGCCAGCCCTTTCCTCCTACCTCGTCTATTACCACACTCACCAAGCTGGCTTGTCCGCTGCTAGCCAGCTTCCCAGGGTTCTCCTGTTTCCTTCTCCCTTCTTCTAGAGGAGCACTGGGATTACAGATGCTCATGACTGTACACAGACTTGAGTCCTAGCATACGCATTCATCTGTCTCCCTAACATTTCTAGCCATCCTCTGCATTTCCAAAGGTCACGTAAGACCTCTTTATGAATTGTCTGTTGAGTTTTCCACCACTATTCCTATAGGATTTTGTCTTTGCTTCTTATCTTTTTAAAGACTTCTTGTTTGTCAAGGCTACAAACATGAAACAGTTTTCCATTTATCTCCTGTGTTAGAATGGGTTTTGTAATGCTCAAGTTTTGTTTTTGCTTTCTGTTTAGTTTGTTTTTTGTTGTTTTTTTTTTGTTTCGATATAGTTTTATTTGCCATTCTTACACTTTTATGTTTTACTCAAGTTCCATATATGCTTGTTTCTTCTTTTCTATAAATGGTTTACTTATTTGTACAACACTGCCACACAGTTTTTAATAAGCTTTGTTTACCCTGTTAGCATCTGTTAACTCCCCATTAAAGCTGTTTTTCTTTTCCTAGCTATGCTTGTTTTCCTTATCAAAATAAAGAAATTTTTATTGCCATTTTATTGGAATCATATTAAATGTATAAATTACTATAGAGGAAAACAGCTATCTTATTGATGTTGAAAAATTTTAACCAAGTACAAGGAATGTTTTTCAACTCCTTTGACTGTTGTGTGCTTTTCCACAGGTGGTGGTTGTGCAGGCAATTAGTGCTCTCTGTCAGAAGTACCCTCGAAAGCACAGTGTCATGATGACTTTCCTTTCGAACATGCTTCGAGATGATGTAGGTAGCAGACTCCCTATTTTACACACATGAAGCTGTTCTCTTACATTCCCTTGATTGCTGTTAAATACCATAGTGTTTTGTTGTTGTTGTTAAGTCACTTCCTCATGGTTTGCATTTTTATTTTTTTATTCTTTGAGAATTGTATACATATATTCAGTGTATTTTAATCATGTCCAACCCTCACTTCCCTTGCACTCAATCCAACTCAACCCAGGACCTCCCATTAGTATTTTAAAAGCATTTCTTTATCATATGTTAAATATATTTCTTTCTCATTTCTGTATGCCTCTCAAATACTGTACATAACTCCAATTGCTGTATTATCATGGCTATTTATTTTCTCACTTGAAGGAGAAAAAACTTTGTTATTATTGTTAAATAAAGGAAGTTAACTGAAATATAAGCATGAATCTTGAAGTACAAGTACTTCTTTAAAAAATTATTAAAATAGGGATGAGGTGATAAAAAATATAAGACACCCTGGGTCTAGATAAGCATTTCTCAAAAAAAAAAAAAAATCCTTAGAATGGGATTGCAGTGGTAGTGCTGTTTGGGGTTGGGGTGGGGGCAGAAATCCTAAGAACAAATGGCAGTTTTATCTTCTCTTTTGTCAGGGAGGTTTTGAATACAAAAAAGCCATTGTGGACTGCATTATCAGCATTGTGGAAGAGAACCCTGAGAGTAAAGAAGCCGGCCTAGCCCACCTCTGTGAATTCATTGAGGACTGTGAACACACCGTTCTGGCTACTAAGATTCTACACTTACTGGGCAAAGAGGGCCCTAGAACTCCTGTCCCCTCTAAGTATATCAGATTCATTTTTAATAGAGTAGTCCTGGAGAATGAAGCTGTCAGAGCTGGTGAGTCATTAGAATACAAGTAGTGATGTAATGGCTGGTCTTTAAAAATATGTGATGTCAGAGGGCATCGATGAACGTGGGAAATGCAGTTACAGGTGTGATGTGACTTTGGAGGACACCCTGGGACTAGGTATACAGCTCTCCTTTGTGTTCCGACTTTCATGCAGATTTTTGCCTTGAATTGGAATCCTACAGTCCTTGCCTTTCAGTGTAACAGGAACACTATAGTGCTACCTCTCATTTTTTCACTAAACCAGTATATGGGATTTATGTATGGATGTGTCCATAGATACATTTTAAGTGATTCTAGTCTATGCCACTAATACAGGTAAATTATCCTGTAATCCTGTTTCACGTTAACTCCTGACCTTATATACTTGGTTTCCAGATAAACTCACAGAAACCGTCACTAGTTGCCTTCATGTGCTCTTTTTCCTATTTTCTTCTCAGCTCAATAAAATTTGACCCTCTCCTTTAAGTTTTTTTTCTCAAGTTACTTTTTAAAATTACATGTAAGTTAGTGGGAAAATCAGACTACTTGACAATTTTGATCTTAGTTCATGTCTCAACTTGATAAACTGTTTACTGGCTGCTTAAGGAAACTCTTCCTTTGGTTTTTATAGTGTACTCCAGTTTTCTGTCATCCCTTGGTCTATTTATAGTCTTTCTTTCTAGTACATTAATTGGCCATCCTTAGAATTGTCTTATCACTGTATACATTCTTCTGGATTGTGTTTTGGAGCTCTATTTGTAGGCATGGTTCTCCTGAATAAGAATGTCCACCATATACCCCATATGTAATGTGAAATTCAAACTAGTCCAAATTGAAATCTTTCCTTGATCCTCAGAAGGCAGGGATTTAGGTCACCCTGAAACCTCATCTGTTCCTCACCACAGGTCTGTCACTTTGGCCTCCTTAACTGGTTTCTTCATTCTCTTACCTTCTGTCATTGGGTACAGGTTTAGGCTTTCATTCATTCTGATCCCTAGCTGCTCTGCTTCTAGTGTCACAGATTGTTTGTTTGTTTGTTTGTTTGTGGAATATGAAGAGTGGGCATTAAAATAACACAAATTTGGGCTGGAAAGCTGACTCATCAGTTAAGGGTACTTACTGTTCTTGCCAAGGACCTGAAATTGGCTCTACCTGTAACTCTAGCTCCCAGGGGATCTGATACTTCTGGCCTTGCCAGCACCTACACTCTGCTGTGTGTGTGTGTGTGTGTACCTACCCAGAGGCATATACATTTTACATAATTAAGAATAATAAAAATATTTAAAAACAATCACAAATACATCCTATACCTATGTGAGATAATAAACCTTTAATTGAAACATTACGGTTGAGCTATGTGTGGTTTTTTTAGTTTATCTAGTCTCTCACTTTCACTCTCTAATGTGGCTCCAATTCTCAGCCTTTCTCATTCAAGACTAGTAAATACACTTTCTACTCTGGACACAGAACATTTATTTGTTTTTCTTTTTAATACTCTTACCTTGTCTCTTCCCTTTGGCTAAACTAACTATTCTACAAAATTAGCTGCAGTAGTGTCTCAATTCGTTGTTTGACCTAAGCCCCCATTTCTGTACTTACCTAGCATCTTGGATATAGTTTTGCTAGAGATTTACTAGGGTAAGACAGTCTCTTTCAAAGACCATGTCTTTTATCTTTGTATTCCTCAGCTTTTGCCACACTTCCAGTAAAATTTAGGTGAGCATTAAATCTTTGTTGAATGAAAAGAATGTTAGTAATAGCTTCTTGGCATTAGTTGTTTGAAATTTGAACTGAATCATGTCAGAGGGTATAGGAAGAGCTATAGGTAGGTGTCCTAGGGTAGAGACAGCTTACACAGTATGTATATGATTCACAATTCTGTTTATGCTTAAGTAATCAAGGAATTGCTAATGAAACAAGACTTTATTTCTACTGAATACTAGTTGTTTCTCATTTGCTTTTGGTTTTGGTTTATTTGTTTTTATTTTGTTTTTTAATACGTGGTCTTTGTATCCTAGGCTGGACTGAAACTCACTCTGTAGCCCAGGCTGGTCTTAGACTTTGAGTAATTTTCCTGCCTTGGGCTCACAAGTGTCTGATTTGTTTTGGGAATGCTTATTTCTTAACTCTGAGAAGTCAGTATTTATGTTGCTTCATTCTGTGTTTCACAACAGCTGCTGTAAGTGCTTTGGCTAAATTTGGAGCTCAGAATGAGAGCCTTCTCCCAAGCATCCTGGTCCTCTTACAAAGGTATATAAGAGAATGCCAGCTTTTGAAAGATAAAGATTCCATATAGCTAAGTAGTGAAAAACCTCATTGCCCTATTGTTAGACACACTGTAGGGCTAAGAGTAGAGCTAATAGAGCTAGTCAGGGGCAAATGCAGTTTTTCCTATTTCTGATAGTTATATATACACAAGATACATGTGAGATTTGAGATTTGGATTTCTTTTACATGATTTTGAGGGAGTAAGGTAAATATATGTACTTCAATTTGTACAGTAAACACTAACTTTAAAGAGAGGTTAAACAATTCATATGAAGAATTGAAGATAGCCTTTCATGATCTTCATAACTCCCTAGTTGTGAGGGAAAGTCCTTTTTAATATATATATATATATAATTTTTTTTTTTTTAGACGGGGTTTCTCTGTGTAGCTTTGGCGCCTATCCTGGCACTCGCTCTGGAGACCAGGCTGGCCTTGAACTCACAGAGATCCACCTGCCTTGCCTCTGCCTCCCGAGAGTGCTGGAATTAAAGGTGTGCACCACCAACGCCCGGCTTTAGCAAGTATTTTGTGATTGTATTTTATATTTAAAGCAATTAAGTCATAAGCCAAAGACTGACTAGTTTAAATGAAGCAGATTGCCATTTGAACAGTACTGAGTGCTAGTTTTCTTTGTCTCCGTAGCGTAACATTTCCATTTCTTAGTGTTAGAGAAGCTAAGTCTTTGTTGGGCTCTTGTAGTTACAGACTCTACATTATTATGTCATGTTACTGTGTTCTTCCTAGTGACTTCAGGCCTCCTAGTGTAGTAATTCTGACTTGCAATGGCATCTCTTTAGTACTTCATAACAGTTCAAAGAATCATGGAAAATTTAGGAGCCCTTGTTGGCTATTATTGAACTCTGCCATAAAAGTCATATCAGATAACCTCAACTGTGCTTTACAGGAACAGTGGTAAAACTGTTGGAAATCTTTGGGATATAGAAACATACCTATGCCATTCCTTCTGAACAGGTGTATGATGGATACTGATGATGAGGTACGGGACCGAGCTACCTTCTACCTGAATGTGCTACAGCAGAGACAGATGGCCCTGAATGCTACATATATCTTCAACGGTTAGTGCCTTAGTGTTATGGAGACATGACATAGCACTTCTGTTCAAATGGTCAAACCTATTTTATGGTGATTCACATATTAGCTGACTCCTTTAGGCAGTTGCATGGTTTTAATCTTTGAATGAAATTCCATTTCTAGGGAAACGTATATTCATGGAGGTATTTTCTAATTTGGTAATAGCAGTTCCTATGAAATAATATGTATTTTTTAAAGTATAAAAGGGTCCAAAAGAATATTGCTTATCTCTAGTTCTTCTTAGGTTCCCTCTTACATGATTCTCTCCAGTTTTGTTTTCTTCTGCTTTTCTTGTTCCCATATAGCTAAAATATTTGATTTTCTGAGAGATGCTTGCATTTTGTTGACTTTTTTAATGTTCTGCTCCCATGTTTCCATGAAAAAAATAAGGCAGCTTATAAGTGTATAAGGCAGTTTTATATAGTAATCTTTAATTTGATTACTTGGGCTAGAGCAGTGCTTCTCAACCTTCCTAATGCTCTGACCCTTTAATACAGTTCCTCATGTGGTGGTGAGCCCCAACCATAAAATTATTTTCATTGTTACTTCATAACTGTAATTTTGCTAGTTATGAATTGTAATGTAAATATTTGTGTTTTCCAATGGTCTTAGGTGACCTCTGTGAAAGCGTTGTTTGAGATCTTTTAGTAATACAATTAATGACATTGCTTAAATTTAGGATTTTAACTCTCTTGGGTTTTACCTGAAAGTAACAATAAGAAAATGTCCCAAGATGAAAAGTTTTTCTTAATCATTCTTAATCATTCTTAATACTTGAAGCTGTTTGTTATAATCTTTTGATACATGTTTCTCTTCCTTCAGAAAGCTTTGATAAGAGGTTATAATGCTGAGCTTTTCCTATTTATAGGTCTGACAGTCTCTATACCAGGGATGGAAAAGGCCTTGCACCAGTATACACTAGAGCCTTCAGAAAAACCCTTTGACTTGAAGTCCATTCCTCTCGCTATGGCTCCTGTCTTTGAACAGAAGTCAGGTAACATAACTGTTTAACTCTGTTAGTTTTTCTGTGTGTAAGTAATTTATAAAAAACAAAACAAAACAAAAAAGAAACCTAGAAAAAGCTTTTAAAAATAGCATAGTTTCTCTCTTTCATTTTTTAAATTTTTGCTTGTTTGTTTTTTGAGACAGGATCTCTCTACATAGTAGCCCTTCCCTGAAATTCACTGTATAGTCCAGGCTAGTCTCAAACTCACAGAGATCCAACTGCCTTTGCTTTCCAAGTGCTGGGATTTAAGGTGTGCACAATTGGTGATCTTTTAGTACTAAGATGAAATTGTTTAAATTTAGAATTTTGAGACCCTTGGCGTTTTACCTAAAAGCAAGAATAAGAAAATGTCCCAAGATGAAAAGGTTTTTTTTGTTTGTTTGTTTGTTTTAAGTTATTTAATACAAAATGTCACACTACTTGAATCTGTTTGCCACTGTGTATCTGGTAAAAGTTACTGCCTTCATCTCCTTCTGTGGAGAGAAACTCACTTGATTGCTTACATCTGTCTTTGTAGAAATCACGCTTGTGACTTCTAAGCCAGAGAAGTTGGCTCCTTCCAGACAAGATATTTTCCAAGGTATGTTTTTATGAGTACAAGTAATAATCTTTATAATCCCTAGGTATTATGAATTAATAACATCTACTACCTTTATTCAATTTGATTAATTCTCAGTTCAGTAAATTTCTCATGTCATAGGTTATAGTGGCTGGAATTACCTGGTGTCCATGGACTTTTCAGTGACTAATTTACTACCTGGAAGTGTTGTTCTTGTGCATATTTTGTGGTTAAGAGGGAAAGAAATTAGCAATTTAGTTTGTCCCCTCCCCCTACGTATAGAAACCTAGTCTATAAACTTGATAACTTAAAGGCTTATTTCACAGAAGTTTAGAGACCACTGGTTGAGTGTTCAGTTATTAGTAAGGCCATAGAAATGAAATTGTCTTTCTGCTCTGTGGTAACTAAAGCATTTTAATAAAGTCCCTTCCTGTCTTCCTCATACTGTGCTTCTACTTTTCTTTCTCTTTGTGCTTAATAGAACAGTTGGCTGCCATTCCTGAGTTTATGAGTCTGGGGCCCTTGTTCAAGTCTTCTGAGCCTGTTCAGCTCACGGAGGCAGAGACAGAGTACTTCGTGCGATGTATCAAGCACGTGTTTACTGACCACATTGTGTTCCAGGTGAGAGAAAGAACTCTTGGTTCTTCCTATGTCTTTATATATAAGCTGGTATACTCGAGTCAAATAGCACTTTCCTTTAGTTTATGATTCTAGTTCCTTTCATAAAGGGTTAATTTAGTAGTAGTTCTAGTTTTTTGTTTGTTTGTTTGTTTTTTGTTTTTCTGTTTTTTCCCAGAAGTATAGAGGTTTCTTCTGATGATGGGCTATTCTTGATAACTATAATTTAAAAGAATATAAAATTGAATGTCTCAAGAAATGAACAATATGTAATTCAACTATTTTAAAAATCAGCATTTAAACAAGGTAAACTAAGTGGGTTGTTCAAAGAACTTAGATTTGAGAGTCGTCAGATTTCTAACACTCTGTAGTGACAGTATCAGGGAGAGAAACAGGGTGGTCCAACACTAGTCTGTGTTTCAAAGAGGCAGTCTAAGGGGAGGTATGAGGCCTGGGTTCAATCCCTAATACCAAAAGAAGAAAATAAAATCTTAGGAGATTTACAGTGTTATTTATAGTGTTGAATACAGTAGATTCCAGAACTGAATTGTGGACTATGAGTGAGAGAAACAACTCACTGGAAAGTATTTCTTAATCTTTACAACTTTTCTGTTGCTAACTTTTCAGTTTGACTGTACCAACACTCTGAATGACCAGCTGCTGGAGAAGGTAACGGTGCAGATGGAACCGTCCGACTCCTATGAAGTACTGTGCTACGTCCCAGCCCCCAGCCTCCCTTACAATCAGCCGGGGATGTGCTACACACTTGTTCGCTTGCCGGATGAGGATCCTACAGCAGGTACTGACTTCAGAAGGGAGAAGATACTTTGTGGTCTAAAAACCAGCTCTGGAGCTCTTAGAATGTCTAGCCAAGTATTGAACATTCAAGAATATGGTTCTTTCCAGAACTTAATGTTGTGCGGGTAGGGTATGTTTATAAAATTGGTTACTATTGTAGAAATACTACTTTCAAAACTAAATCTGTGAGAAAAACTTGCTAATGATAATGGTAAAAGAGAAACTGAATGTATTTAGTGACAGCCTCAAAAAGAATTCAGGGGTTATTTTTTTTGGGGGGGGGGTTGTTGTTTTGTTTTCATTTTTCATTTTACATACCAACCACAGTTCCCCCTCCCGCCCCTCTTCCCACTCTCCCTCTCCCTCACTCCAGCCTGTCCACGATCTACTCAGAAAGGGTAAGGCCTCCCATTGGGAATCAATAAAACCTAGCACATTCAATTGAAGCAGAACCAAGCCCCTTGCATTGAGGCTGAGGAAGGCATCGACCATATGGGAGGACTCCAAAAAGCCAGCGTGAACTCAGGGTTTCTATTGAAACAATGTAACCATGAGTGAAGGTTCTAATACCTGATATTTCTTTCCAGGGTTCCTGGGAAAACTTGGCTATTTAGCAGATTGGTTGGCATTTCAATACATTATTTTAACCATCTTGTAGTGTAAGACTGTGGTCTACAATGTTTCAGCTTAGTAAGTAATTTAGTTGACCATTTTGTGTCCATATTGAGAAATGCTTTATCATTTGCTTGACCTATGTTCAGTCTTGGTGGGGAGGTAGTATAAGGGGTCTAAAAGAGAGCCAACTGCTACTGTGAGATGTTTATAATTTGAGGATTTAGAATGGTCTTGACATTCTAAATCTAAATGGTCTTTTAAAAATGTTGGAATCTGTCACACTTGAATTCTTTACCCCACTCAGTTTTCCCATACTCGAGCTGCAGAACACCTAGCAGTAGCTACCCAGCTTTCCCAGAAATAAGCACACATACCACATTAATATTTAAACAGTTTTTACTACTAGTAAGTACAGGAAATACAGAAATTAACAGTATTAACAACCATCAGGGAAGTTACAGAGCTACAAGAAATCATAAAAGTATTAGTAAATAGTTATCCCCAGTCATCATTCAGTTACATTTGGGGCTTAGTCCAATTTATTTTTTGGCCCCTTCCCTTCAATGTTCATTCATGGGAGCCCCTGACCTGTCTTATCTGTGTTGGGTGCTAGACTAAGCTACTCAGACTCTGGCACGAGGTAGATTCACATTGGCACCATTGCCGAGTCTGAATCCCAGGTTGTTCCCTCTGAGCCTCAATGGAACTGTGTTTGTTGTTGTACAGCCATCTGGATTTGTAACCCCCTGGGTGGGAAGGCACTTTCCTATCTGGACTCTGACATTTTTCTCCTTTAAATTTCATTACTTCCTTTGTGAAATTTCTCACATTCCATTTCCTTGTAGCTTCACTTTGCTCTCCTGGTCTGGTTCTCTCTCTCTCTACAGAGAAAGAGAGAGAGATCTGAAGCATGTCAGCTAGGAATAATTACACTTTCTGTTCTCTCAAGTAAAGCTCGTTTTATTTGCCTTTGTTCCAAACTTGTATTGTCCAGCCTTAATGTAGCTCTATGTTTTTTGGGTCCAGCCTTAATGTAGCTCTATGTTTTTTGCCATCATCCCAGGAGACTATGCATTTTGTCTTTTTTTTCCCCAACATCCATCTTTCCTTGCTTCAGAATTCCCCTACAATCGCTGCATTTCTCACTAAACTTATAGGTTGTTTTATTTTTAAAGGAAGCCATTACTTTTCCACTTAATTACACAGGGAAGTGAAATCTGAACCCATTGAAAACTCTAGCCCCTCCCAGTTGAGAATACTAGCTCCTCAAGCTCTTCAGGTGCACTCTGATATGGGATAACTCAGGGACCCACACCCCAGGGAAGGGGATTAACAGAGCAAGTACATTTTACAACACCAAAACACACAGAACAACAATATTGAAATCACAGTAGTTACATATATTATAGGAAAACAAGAGTAACATAAAACACTTCCACCAAGAGACATCCCCTCAGCCCTCTTTACTGACGAGGTGACTTCTTTTTTAGAACAGATCTTACACTTTGTTAGCCCAGAGGTTTCAACTTTTGGTCTGCTGGCTAAGAACTGTTTGGGTTTTTTGTTTCTTTGTTTTTTTGTTTTGTTTTGTTTTTTAATAAAAATTTGGCAATTAGAGAATTTTCTTTATGTTAAAATTCACAGGGTTTCCTGATCAGTGGCAGAATGTGGCTATAAATTCTAATCTTGTTTCAACAGTTTTGTGTTTGACCTATCATATGCATGATTACTCCTTTCTATTCTTTAGTTTTATTAGAATTCATGAATTTTTAATCCATAGCCAATATTAACTCTTAGCAAAGAGTGAAGTGAAATACCAGGACATAGGTGGTAATGGGGGTCTTTACCCATCCTCCCACCCTTCTTTATATTAACGTGATATTTTTTCCCATTGCAGATACTCTAAAAATTACCAGTCATTTCAAAATCTATTACTTCTAATGTGTATCTTATCTCAGAAAAATGTTTTTCCTTATGGTCACAGGGGAAATAAATAGAAATTCTTGGTTATGATTTCCTTCAACTTGGAAATAATATAGCATATTAGAGAGGAATATGGGTTTAATGAATAGGTATAATAATTTGAATTCTGGCCTTACCACAAACTGACTCCGTGAATTGGACAAATTATTTTATTTATGTAAGTCTGATCTAGCACCAGACATAGCAAATAATAGACAATATTTTGTTTAATTCAGGAATTGCTTAATTTTTTTCCTTTAATCATCTCTAAAATCAGTTCTTCTGCAATTCAAAAGATCATGTCCTCCAGTATTATCCAGAATATTATTCCATTAATCACACCTTTCTTTGCTTAATCTATAGACACCCTTGGCTTTCAAATACTTGTTTTGAAGATTGTTGATCAAACTATTAACAAACTCATCTCTATGTGACTATTTGTTCTCCTTACTCAACCCATTCATCAAGTGATATCTGATAAAGCTTTTACGAAGCCAACTGCTGTGTTGATAAATTCTTAATGTCTACAGTTCCTGTTTTCCTTTATTCTTTATTTAGTAAAGGTCTTCAATGAGCAATACTACCCATCTGATCATCCAAAGTGTCTTAAGTAATTCCCAGATGACATAAAATGAACACTAGTCACATAGCTCAGTTCCATTAACAGTACTCCTATTCCATTTGGGCTGTGTGAATTTTGTTGCAGGCCATGTTAAATATAATTCAACCTATTTCGAACTCTCTCAATTGTCATTGTCATTGTCCCACCTACACACTTTTTTTTTTTTTTTTTTGTTTTTTTTTCTTTTTTTTTTTTCTTTCTTTCTTTTTTTTTTTTTTCTTTTTTTTTTTTTTTCCTCCTTTCTAAGACAGGGTCTCCCTCTGTATCCCAGGTTGGCCTTGATGGTGCCACTACTTTCCTACAATTTTTGTTTAATGCTCTTTTTGTTGTTGTTGTTGTTGTTGTTGTTGTTGTTGTTTTTAAAAATCAGTGAAGTTGTTTCCGTAATAAATGAAGGCTGACTTGCCTCCCTTAAAAAGGCAACTCTGCTTAAGGCCTCCAAGTCTGTGTATCATTCATTGCTTAACCTGGAGATCTGATAACACCTCTCACCTTGGAAACCCTGACTTCTGCCTTTTGCTTTCCTGCACTGGCTCCTTTATCAAGGGTGAGCCACAATTTCAGTTGGTTCTGTCCTCCCCTGCCCTTGCATTTCTCATCAGCTTTGTGAGCAATTTGATTGAAAATGTTTGTTATCATCCTATGGCCACCTACTTCAGTGTTACCTTCTAACTTGGATGCAGGATTATTCCTGGTAAAACCATCCCATAACTTTTTCTCATGTGAACTTATCCAGAGACATGCTGATTCCTCCTCAACACTTTTCTTGGAACCTTCCAATTGATGCATGGATTCCAGCATGGAGTCTTTCCAGCCCTGTCTGGTCACTTCCTGATTTGCACTCCTGTTCCCACCATTGCCAGTCTCTGAGCCTGGACAAGCTCTAGAGAGTCCAGGTGCTGTCTGAATTCACCTATTACCAGCCTAGTTTCTTAGGTCAGCCACTGTGGGGAAAAAAAAAACAACAACCCACTTTCTTGCTTGGAATCAGTGTGACCTGAGCCATCTTGCCTTGATTTCAATGACAGTGCTGCCAATTATTTTCTAGGTACTGTCCTCCCCTCCCCCCCAGTTGGCATGTCTGAAGTGAAGCCCTCATCTCCTCATTTCCCTCTAAATCCTGAATGGACATTCTTAGCATGGTGCCTTCCCCTGAGCCTCTCCACACCCTCTGCTCTCGAAGCTGCTGGCTTCTTCCACTTATGCTAGCTTAAGCCTTCTTCTCATGTTCTCCCACTTACTACAAATTCCTCACCTCCTCACAACTCTCCTGGGTCCAACTAACCCTTTCTCCTGCTTTACCTTCCACTGCCCAGAGAAGCAGAGTCACACTCTCAACACCTGAAGCTCCTTCAGTCGCCCTCTGTGCTGCTCTCATGTGTTCTGCAGACCTCTGACTCTGCTGCCCACTGCCCTGTCCTCTACACCACTGCCTCACCACATCTGGTCCTCCGCATCAGACTGACTGTCTCAAGTCTGCACACAGCCATCACATCTATGCATCGTCTATCTCTGTCAGCCCCACTCCTCCACCTCAGTCCTAGCAGGAGCCACAGAGTTAGCACTGCACTCCCTGCCCCTGACAGGAGACCCTCACACAGCTCTCATCCTTCTCACCCCTTCCTTCAACACTGCATCCAGTTGCTCTCTGTCATCCCCCTGCACTGACAGGACCTTTTCTCCCAAGTCTGACAGTCATGACTCTGATGCCTCCATCTGCCTGGACTCACAGGCCCCATCTGCTCACCCCTCCTCCTCTCCCGGGGGCCAGCCCCCCCCATCCCGTGGGTGGACCCCCCCCA